TCCAGGATGATGTAGACTACAACAGGGGCAGAGCTAAGGGGTGATTGGGGGGGAGGGGCAAACGTCTGACCCGAACCTATGTATCATAGAACTAATCGACACGGGATTTCTACGATCAAGAATATTAGCTCCGCCTCTGGACTGCAGGTCATTCTTAACAAAGGAATGGAGTTATGGGAATTTACTAGTTAAGGGAGCATCAATCCAGTTGTCATGCCATAGTTGTAGAGATTGGCCATTACCCATATTCATTGATATTTGCTTTTGAACAGGGAAATAAGCTTTTAATGGCTCCTCCACCAGTTGGATCCTTCCATCCTTTGTCCAGGCAACTGTGTGCCATCATAAGTTTCCCAAATCAGTTTGACCCAAAGGCAGATTTTCACTATTAAAGAACTTATGAAGGTTTTTCATCATGAGGGTTTTGTTGTCAAGAGAGATGTCCAAAATTCAGTAATATAAGCTTTTGTTGAACATTTTCCAGTTTCAATATCTGGAAAAATGCTCTGAAAGGGGAAGAACTTTTTTTTTTGAAATGAAAGGGGTTGCCCCCTGTCCCAACTTTTATTAAAAAGGCAAGGCAAAAAAAAAGGAAGGAAGGACTTGGTGTGCCGTGTGATCTTTAGCTAATCATTTCACACAACACCGAGGTAGATTATGACGTGGCCGGAGAGAAGTGTGCTACCGTTCTACGCAATGGGCAGATTGTGCAGATGTTCCAACAATTTGTACTAGTCTTCTAGTACCATTGTACGTTTCGGTGCATCATTATTATGTCACCGGATATATATACTTGTCGGGTTCATGCCGTGTCACGGACTCGCAGCCTCACGGGTAGCGTGTAACCACTTTGTGATTATCTTGGCATGCCCTGATCGTCTGCGATGCACACGTAGCTTTAAGATTGGCAATACTAGTTTGGTATTTTGGCAGTACATAAACTGATAAACACAGCATTGGTGGTTACAAAACAAGATGTGGCTGCATATGGTCGGCAATCTGCGTGATGCTATATATGCTTGCTCCGGGGATACGTACATGGACGAAGTACCTGTAATATACAGTAGGTTAGTATATATGTTTGATTGGTGATGGAACGGAAGATGAGTTTTAAAAGCAGAGAGAAATGCATCTCGTGAGCACGGGCAAGGGTGTAAGCAGCCGGTTGAGTGGCTCCCTCCATCCACATGTGAACCCGTAGGGCCCAAGCTAGGTTGCCAATCACGGCTCCTCGTCCGCTTCTCCACCCGTCATCTCCAATCTCCATTCCCTCCTTCCTTTTGATCCCTTAAACTGCTGGCCTATAAATTCGCATGCTCCCCAACGGCATTAACCACCAGACCACCAGAGTAGGGCCTTCGATCAGTAACCAGCGAGACCAGCAAGCAAGCGAGCCATGGCAGCGACCTCCTCCGCCTCCTACGCCGTCGCGGTCGCTCTCCTCTGCCTGCTCGCCGCCTATGGCTGCTGCGGCTGCCCTGGACCCACACCTGCCCCCGCTATCCCCAGCCCCGTCCCCGTTATGCCTCCACCTGCCCCCGTTACCCCCAGCCCCGTCCCCGTTACACCTCCACCTGCGCCCGCTACCCCCAGCCCAGGCTCCGGCTCCGGCAGCACCAACGGCTCCTCCGACGGCTGGCTGGACGCGAGGGCCACCTGGTACGGCGCCCCCGATGGCGCCGGGCCGGACGACAACGGTGGCGCGTGCGGGTTCAAGAACGTGAACCTGCCTCCGTTCAACGCCATGACGTCGTGCGGCAACGAGCCGCTCTTCAAGGACGGCAAGGGATGCGGCTCCTGCTACCAGGTCAGCTACTTTTGCCGGTATTGCAGTTGCTTGACACTGACAGTAGAGTGCTGATGGGCCTTCGATTGTCGCGTTGCATTGTGTTTGCGTGCAGATAAGGTGCGTGGCTCACGCTCATCCGGCGTGCTCCGGCGTCCCAGAGACGGTGATCATCACGGACATGAACTACTACCCGGTCGCCCGCTACCACTTCGACCTCAGCGGCACTGCGTTCGGCGCCATGGCCAAGGACGGCCGCAACGACGAGCTCCGCCACGCCGGCATCATCGACATGCAGTTCAAGAGGGTGCCATGCCAGTACCCGGGGCTGTCGGTGACGTTCCACGTGGAGAAGGGGTCGAACCCCAACTACCTGGCGATCCTGGTGGAGTACGGGAACGGCGACGGCGACGTGGCGCAGGTGGACCTCATGGACGGCGGCGAGACGACGGGGGCCTGGAGGCCGATGAGGCACTCGTGGGGCTCCATCTGGCGCCTGGACACGCGCCGCCCGCTGCGGGGGCCCTTCTCGTTGCGGGTCACCAACGGGTCCGGCAGGTCGCTCGTCGCCGACCAGGTCATCCCCGCGAGTTGGCAGGCCGACGCCGCGTACAGCTCCGACGTCCAGTTCGATGATTGATCCCGTCCGATGACCCATGGAAGGCATGCATGTCCATGCATGCATGGATTTGTTGTGCCAAGCTATATAGCCGAGACGTCGCTTGTGACGTCCGGTGCTACGTATTTATCATTTATCTTGTCCTACTATCCTTGTACATATACATACGTGACAACTTTAGTTTGTGGGATTTGGAGGAGGCTGGTATATATACGATACGACACGTATAGGCTAGCTATATTCTGCCGTAATGTTATCATGCAAAAAAAAATGTTTGTAATGTCTACTGTATTATTTACACAAGTTTACTGTATCAGTTTAGCTATATGTAAGGTACCTCAAAAATGAATTCGGGTCAGTCTATTATTCTGGCCATTGATTGTTGCTCCAAGATTTGTGCTCATTTTTTGTCTGTTTTGGTTTTGAGAAATTTTTGTGTGTTATGTGGTATGTCTTGTTTCGGGCTAGGAATTTTTGACTGACCTAAATTTGGGCTTCAGTCAACTCCTTCATGGGCTGATGCCCAGCTAGCTGTGCGACTGAGCTATATCTATTTAGCCCATCTGACAAATCAGCCATTACGTCTCTTCCTTTGTTTTTACGCTTTTTTCTATTTTTATGCATTTTTATTCTCTTTTTCCTTTTTAGTATGTTTTTCTTCTATCCTTATGGGTATTTTTGGGATGTTAAGTGACTGTAAATGTATGCATGCAAGTGCTATATAATAAGTGTGTAAATTATTTTACTCTTACTTAGAAAATATCATTATTTTTATTTATTTTGTTTGTTTTCTAAGGATAATACCAATTTCACTAATTCATTTGTTCTCATGAAACTTTTTTTGTGAAAATTCTATTATTATGTGCTTATTCTTGCTTATTATAAAGATGAAAACAATCAGCGTCAACTGGCCGAATGCCTTCTCTGTGCAAACATGTCCTTGTGGGTCCCACACACTCTCCACCTCCCTTAATTTCTGAAACAACGCCCAACGCCAACATTTTCTTCCCCACAACTCTCTCTCTCTCTCTCTCTCTCTCTCTCTCTCTCTAACTAGGATGAGGCGGGCACGGCTAACTCTGGGGCATTGCGTCCTCGTGCAGGAAGAGGCGGATGCGACCGTCGCCGGTGGATGGCAGGAAGAGTGTGGCACGAATGACAACGCGGGAGAGGGCGGAGTTCGGCACTGCCGGTAAAAGGCCAAGCACTTCCATGAAAATTACCTACAGCGGCGGCTCGCCGGATCTGGCCACCGCATTACACATCGGAGTCAATGTAGTTGATGCATTGGAGGGCGGTGTCGTCACCGAAGAAGATGATCTTGACGGCGGTGGATTTTCCCAATTATCCACCAATGGACTCATAGTGCTCCCCTTATAAAAAAATCGTTATTTCTATGTAAATTGTGTGCAAAGTTTTCATAATATTTTTCCTTTCCTTTTATTAAAGGTTAATTCCAATGACACTAATTCATCCTTACTTAGAAAACTTCACTATTTTGATTTAGTTTTAGTTTTATTTCATTTTATTTCTTCTTAAAGGGTAATACCATTGCCATTAATTCATTATCCTTAGAAAATTTCATGATTTTGTTTTTATTTATTCTTGTAGGTTAATACCATTGTCACGAACTCATTCTTTCATAGAAAAAGAATTATTTTGATTTTTGATTTTTTTAGTTTTTATTTTATGTTTCTTTCTTCTTTAATGGTAATACCGATGCCGCTAATTCTTTCCTTCTTAGGAATTCTTTTATGAACATTCCACTATCATATCGTTACAATTGCATATTATGAAAACTGTAACTTTTGTGTAAACTGTGTGCAAACTTTATCATTATTTGTTTTAGTTTTTATTTTAATTTCTTTCTTATTTAAGGTTAATACTAATGCCACTAATTTATTATTTCTTAAGAAATTTCTTGTTTTAAAAGTTCTGTTATTACATGCTTATACCTGCATATTAAAAAAGCACAGTTTTTTTTTTGAAAATTGGTGCAATTTGTCATTATTTGTTTTTGTTTCTTCACTTTCTTTTTTCTTAAAAGGTACTACCAATGCCACTAATTCATTCTTCCTTTGGAAAAAACTTTATTTTCATTTTGTTTTAGTTTGTATTTCATTTTTTTTCTTCTCTAATGGTAATAACAATATCACTATTGTCGACTACTCCCTTCATTTATTTTTACTTTACATATAAGTTTTGTCTTAAGTCAAACTTCGTAAAGTTTGATCACATTAGAGGAAAAAATATCAATATTTATACTATCAATCAATATCATTGCATCACGGAATTAATTTTCATATTGTATATCTTTTCTATTATAGATGTTGATATATCTTTAATATAAAACTGGTCAAAATTTATTAAATTTGACTTAAAACAAATTTATATGCGGAGTAAAAGAGAAACAGGGGGAGGAAGCGGCGTTCTGTCTCCAAGGCGCATCTATTCAAAAACTTCTGAATTTTTGTGTGGTGAAAGATGCTTTGGGTCCCTGCCAAATTTATCTTGTTTGGACATTTGAGTAGCTCGCGAGAAAAAACAAACAAAATTTGGGTCTGCAAGAAAGTTTACTGTTTGCGCACTGTTCAAACCGTTTTTGTCTTTTTTTTGCCACGAGCTTCTCATATGTTCGAACACGGTGAAATTTGGCATGGATATCACACACTCAAGCATCTTTCACCCAAAAAACTCGATTTTTAGAATTTTTCACTATCTTTAATTTACTGTTCATCTAGAGTAGATGAGCCCGGACTCAGAAATTATTATTCGACGGAGGGAGCACTATATTGCTCCCTAAGTGACTACTCCCTCCGTAAAAAGAAATATAAGAACATTTACGAGGGAGTACATTGCTGAGTATACCGAATACCATTGTTTACAGGCTTTGGTAATATACTGTTCTAGATTTTTATTCGAAATATTCATAAGCTGTTCATCACCTGCCTCCTCTTGATCCTGGCCTTGAAGCCGTTCTTCATGTGGAGAATGACGGAGATCTTGGGCTCGATGACGTGCCCCGCCACGAAGTCCACCTCGAAGTTCCTCACCACGGCGGCCGCCACGGCCTTGAGCTGCACGACCGCCATGTCCTTGCCGAGGCAGGTCCGCGGCCCGGAGTTGAAGGAGATGAACTTGTACGACGGCACGTACCGCAGCTTGCCGTCCTCCCCGATCCACCGCTCCGGCCGGAACTCCCGGCAGTCCTTGCCCCACACGGCCTCCATCCTCCCCATCGCGTACAGCGACACAAGGATCTTGTCCCCTGGCCGCACCTCGTGCCCGCTCGGTAGCGCCTCGGCGGCGGCCACTCCCTTGTGCTCCATCGGCAACGGCGGGTACAGCCGGAGCGACTCGCACAGGGCGGCGTGCAGGTACACCAGCCGGCCGAGCTCGTCCGGGTCGTAGGTCACCATGCCGTCCAGGGTGGTGGTGGTGGTCTTGATGGTGTCGAGCTCTGCCAGGATCTTGGACACCACGCCCGGGTTCCTGGTGAGGAGGTAGAAGAACCAGGTCAGCGCCGACCCGGTCGTGTCCCGGCCGGCGATCACAAGGTTCAGGGTCGTGTCGCGGAGGAATACGTCGACGACCGTGCCGCTGCCGGCGTCGCCATCGTCGTCGTCGATGTAGGAGGAGAGCAGGTCCGCCGAGTCCTCGATTCCACCTGTGGCCTTCACCGCCTCCCGCCGCTTGGCGATCGTGTCGCCGATGAACCGGTCGATGTCGCGCCCCGCCACCGCCATCTTCCGCTCGTACCCGACCCCGAGCCGCCGCACCAGCTTCCACCAGGACAGCGGGAGCAGGCTGCGGACAAGGAGCACGTCCATGGCGTCATCTATGGCGCGCGCGAACGGCACCTCCGGGAAGCCGACGGCCAGGCAGCCTGGGTCGACGCCCAAGACCAGCGTGGTTGTAACGTCGAACGTGAGCCTGAGGAACACGTCCTGCAGGTCGCACTCACCGGCGCCGACGCCTGCGACGCGGGCTAGCAGCGGGAGCAGGTCGCGCTCGACCTTGCGGCGGCTGCAGCGGGACACGAAGGCTCGGAACCGAGGCCCGGACATGAGCAGCTGTGCCTTGGCACGCTGGCGGCGCCAGGAGTCGCCGTCGGCGTTGAAGATACCACCGCCCAAAATGTCCATGATCTGGGCGAACTCGGGGCCCTTGGGGTAGTTGGGGAAGTTGGAGGTGAACACGTGGCGAACGTTGGCCGGATCGGCGGTGATGAAGAGCTGCAGCCCCGAGCGCGGCGGGCCGGCGAGGCGGAAGCTGAGCGGGCTGGCAGTGAGGACGGAGGTGACCCAGTCGTGGAGGCGCGGCAGGTTGGCGAGGAGCGCCGGGAGCATGCCCACCAGCGGCCAGTCCAGCGGGAGCGCTGGGTTCTGCCGCTTGGACCTGATGTGGAAGTAGTAGAAGACCACGAAGCAGAGCAAGGCGAGCGAGAGCTCGAGGAAGGAGACGGACGCCATTGCTGCGGCGTTGCACGGTCACCTGCTCGGACAGGACCGGCTTTGTCGAGATGGAGGAGCGTGCCAGCCGCCAATGGTGGTCTAGAGTTCAAAGCCTCTGCCAAGTGCCAACATCCATTTAGGGAGCGGAACATTGTCCACGTCGCCGGAGTACCTTTTCCAATTGAAAACTGCCCACGAGGATTGTTGTTGCTGCACGTGAATGCAGAGATCACATTTTCGTTTCCACGAGGATTTTTCTCTCGTCCACATTTTTTTCACCAGGGGCATTGCGGATGGCCTAACCGACTGGAAAATACCAGAAATTTATTTTTCAGAATTGCTAAATTACATCCAGATGATTTTTAATAATGCTACATCTAAGTTTTGTCACTGTTTCTTTTTGAACATTGCAAGTGCTCATACATACGCGCATACACTCATCCCTATGAACACACACACGCATACTCTACCCCTATGAGCACCTTCGAGAGACTGAGCCGGCATATGTCATCTTGAAATTTACGAAGTCAGAAAGCACATCGCCGGAAATCCTGAAATAAATTCAGG